ATAAAACAATGCTTGAATTATGTTACATTAATTCCAAGATACATAAACTAACATATATAGATAAGTTCGTGATTTCTTAAAACTAGATTATTAACATTTTATGTTTTATTTATTTGACATAAACATAAGTGATTATAATTTTTAGTATCATTGATAAAATGCAGAACATTTATATGATGAGTTTCAAAGTAACTGTTAATAAATATGTCTGTAACAAACAATTTTTATATGCTATAAATTAGAGTTGAACATATCGAAATGCATATAATTCGCAACTGTCTTTCACTTCAGATTGTACATTTATGTATATACAGAATATTAAACAGTTAACTGTATAAGTTTTGTAATTGATTATAATGAATGCAACTTGCTATCACATGATTAGTTGAGTTTTTCTGTATTGTTTTATGATTTCAATATTTACAACTGAATTACATTACTAGTATGTTATCAGAATTTATACATTAATGTATCAAATTTGAATATTTCAGTATTTCAGAAATACAACTTCAAATCACATACATGCGTCATTTGAACTGTCGCTTATCAATTTATGTAACTAGACTGTGGATGTTTATACAAATATTGATTTTTAGACATTAATCTGTGGTAACTAGAATCAATCTGAAAACTGTTTACTATATTAAGGCTTCCATCAGACTCTAAATGTCATTAAAATTTTGTTATGTTGTATGGAATATTTGACTAAACTGAAGTTTAAACAATGGTTTGTGTTATAAAAGTGTAAAATCTACAGTCTATATAGAAGAACTGAATTGTCTTAAATCATTACAATTTAGAATTTGATAATACAACTACAAAGAATTATACGTCAAGCTCGAAAAGTACGGAAACTCTTATAGGGTAGTCTTAAAGAAACATAGGGCTACTAATATAGTATCATAAAATTGAAACTTGTCATTCTAAACAAATAAGTGAATATTTTTCATTAATTGTTCCAAATCTTGGAAACAGATCAGACAGTTATATTTCACGTACACTTCACACAACACGTATTCCTTTAGGAAACATTCATTATGATAACATTGGAAATGACTTGTTACATTTACGATACCATTTCTGTATTATCACAAATCAAACGAAATTTCTATTAATCATTACCAATGTATCAGTGAACAATGTTAACGTGAAAATGAAAAAAAAGTCTTTCTTCTTGTAAGATACATTGGTTGTCAAAGAAACAACACATTACAACTCTGGACTGTAGCGTACCATAGTTTTCCACTAAACATCTGTGAGTCCATTCATGATGTTACAAGTGTTATTAAGGGTGTGATCGAAACACCAGATTATTCGGTGGCTCCTGCACTTTTCTTTTCACTGAATAAGACTACGTGTAACGCATCCTGCGTGCACGTATGCGGAAACGACGCATCTAATAATAGACGACACGTTTACCGTCGACTTATTGGGTAGCTTACTTACGAGACATATTACAAAAGTATTAATTGTATTTATATAAAAAATTGTTCACATGGAACTCATTATGTATTTGCATTTCCTCCTTGTGTTCAAATAATAATAAATGTATGCTTACCTGTTTAGACACTTCTTGTCCACAAATTATTGGTAATGATCTTACATTGCATTCAACATTCAGATGTTACGTAAAAACTAGTGAGAATATTTATAAGAGTATTGAAAAATTAAATAAAAAAAAAAAAGAATAACTAATAGAAATTGAAAGTATTTCGAAAATATTAAAAAATTATTTATGGGGTAGTTCAGTGATATTTAATTGGAATGTAATTGAAATTAAAATTAATTAAAATTCTCGGGTGTAGTGATTTGATCCTGGTTAATGTTTTTTGAGTCACACAGAGGTAGATATACCTAGGATACCTGTAACACAAACATTTTTACGTTTTCTACGTTCATGTAAATCCAGCTAAACTCTGAAGGAGGATATTGCTTATTTATATGTTAGGGAACAGTGTACGATACGAGTTTTGTTACTGTTCAGGAAAGTCTTTGATAGGATACTACTTAAACCTTCGAAGTTTGACTTCTGCGAATGAGACCGCTTCCGAGCTGCAAATTGATCAGGCTTAAATTACACTGAATTGATTGCAGCGAATTCTACACAGTGTCTATAAAATGGCAGCTATAGGATCTGTAGTATATTTAAAAATATATCGATCCCTTTTACGTGATTGTTAAAATAAAAGGAAATTGACTTCGACAGAATGTCTTTCTCAGTGAAACAGAATTGATCTGAAATGTTGCCTTTGTGTTGTGTCTAGTAATAGAACCTAGAAATAGAAACTTTATCGTCGATAAAGATTAGAGAAGCTTTCATGCTTTCTTTGCTGCTCGATAGACTTTTTAAGAAGGAAATAAATATTGACTTAACTCCGATGTTACCGAGATAATAAAAAAATCGGGAATTTTTAGAAATTTCTGCAGTCTAATCACGTCACTCGATAGTCATATCTGATTCTGTATATTATACATTATTTGCAAACAATTTCCGCGATGTTAAAATAATAGCAATGAAAGAAAATCGAATTACTTACAATTAAGTCTGTATTATTGTTTCGTTTCTTATATTTTATTTGTAATGCCATCATCTAGGATACTACCAGTAGCAGTAGTTATCATACATTTCATATTATACTATACTAAGCTATATTGTATTATATATTGCACATATTAAAACATTATACAATTCAACGTGGCGTACATCCAACTCTGGTAGTTCTGATGTTAAATCGCAACAACAGCGAAAAGCAGATCATCGAAAAAGAACATGGGGAATTATGCAAAGCGGGAATATTGGCTCGAAGATGTAAGACCCGATAGTGTACACGGTTCCGGGACGCGTCACCAGTAATTCTGGGTCCGTCTTGTAAGGGTTAAAGTTGGATGAACGTGTAACAAATTTAGTAGCAAGTTCGTCTTGGATTATAAGCACGCGCATGAGATAACACAGCTTCCCGTACATCGAGGCGATTCAGAAATCGATCGTTCCAATCGAAGGTGCATCGAACGTTATCTTCGAAATACGTAAAACAGAAAAGTATCCATATACTGATGCCTGGACTGCGGATTTTATATGCAATCACAGCCTATACTCTGTGAAATACAATAGAAACCAGAACTTTTATTAAATGCCATGAGTTTTCTATTTTACTCTGAACGGAAGAAGATACTTAAAAGGAGACAGAAATTCCTATATTTGCTCTTATCTTTATAAATTACTTTAGAAAATGTCATTTTGCAGAAACATCCGCAGTATGGCAGTGGGAATCATATATTGTCATCAATTTTTTATTTCTGTCAATTGAGTCTTACATTTTATTAACGTCAAGGTTATTTAAATAAAATAAAACCTTTTTTTTTTGTCAAGTTTGGGTACAATCGGCCCTAAACCTTAAAACATCACTTGTCACACCACGTGGACGATAAAACTAAAGACTTTTCTCCTGCGTTTGATTTCAGGCACTCAGCATCGGGGATGATGGATGTTGACAGCGAGACCGAGTGAGAGGGGATCGCGTTCTCTTGTAAAGGAACAAATTCACGGAGTGTGGCAAGAAGAAGAAGAAGAAGAAGGGGCCCGTGGTAGCCGGCGTCGCGGCATCTCGTAGCGATAGAGAGAGAGAGAGGAGGGAGAGGAAGTGAACCACCGGTGGAGAAACAGACGGGATACGGAAGAAGAAGGTGAAAAAGAAGAAAAAGAGGGAACCTCTTATCGTTGTGGTGGTGTGTTGTGCCCGTACGCGTGGAGGATCCGACGAAACACACGGAAAGTTCACCGAAAAGGACGGTGGAAGAAGTGAACGACGCGCAAGATCAGCTAGGAGGAGTGACCGGGTGCCTGGTTGTGCACGCGACCCGTGGATCGCGTAATAAAACGAGGGGAGAGAGAGAGAGAGTGAAAAAGAAACAAAGAAAAGACTGAAAGGATATCATCGCGGTCATTATTTTTTTTTTCGTTTTCCAAATAAAAAAGACAAGCAAAGAAAAAAGGAAGAGTTAAATTTGTTTTTTTCGTATGAGAGAAGAAACGATAACACACGGACGCCGGCACGAGGAGGTGCAATCAGCAAGAAAACGTTGTTTCGAGGTCCTTGAACGAAAGAAGGTTCGGAGGACTTTCTTTCTCTCTCTCTCTCTCACTCTCTCTCTCTCTCCCATTCTTAAGAAGATCGTGCCGCAGGAAAGGCTGGTGTACCGGTGACCCGACGAGACACGGGACGAGGAATAAGGACAAGAAGAAAGAATAGATAACGTACATCATATACATATACACACACATATATATATATACATCTATCTATCTATAATATACAGGGTTACGATTAATGGGTCCCGTTTCTGCGTTCTTCTTTAGTCAAAATCAATCCCGTTTCTTCCGCTTCTAGAGGTGTTACTGGAGATCACGCGAGAGGGAGAGGGGGTAGGTTGAAGAAAACAGGTGATCAGCGTTGTTAGTCGAATGAACTGAGAGTGTCTTCGCGGAGAGTAGAGAGAGAGAGAGAGAGAGAGAGAGAGAGAGAGAGAGAGAGAGAGAGAGAGAAATAAATAAATAAATAAATAAAGATAGATATTATATACAAACAAGGGGATAAGTAATACGTATGTAAAAAGAAGAAAGAAAGAGATCAATATAGAAAAGAGAAGATCAGCGAAGAAGAAAAAAAAAGAAGGAAGAAACAAGAGGGAATAAGAAGAAGAACCCAGAGAGGACGAGGGACGACGGGTGTAGTAATTGAGAGACGGAAGACTGGAATAGGAAAAAGGAGGAGAGGCCGTGAAAAACGAAAACGCCACCCAGGGATAAAGAAGAGAGAGGAAGAAAAGGAAGAGAAGTGTGGTGGGGGTAGTGCGCGGGTGGTTCGCGGAAGAGGGAAAGAAGGAAAAGTGAGGTGAAGGAGAAGGAGGGGAAGGAAGGGTGTGTGCGCGCTGTGAAGCGGTATTGAGAGGGCTGGCGTGGCCCCATGTTGTGAGCGTCTGAAGACTGCCGGGGGCAGAAGTGAAAGGGTGGGAGGGAGGGAAGGGTAAGGGTGCCGCTGGTATGGAGTATGGAAGCGGCGGGGGCGGAGGCGGGGGGGGCCGCGGGGGTGTCCAACCAGCCTCAGCTGCCGCGAGGGGTATGGCGGGGACAGATACTACCGATGCTGCATGGCACAAACACGAACAAATGATCATTATGGAATCCAGGCATAAGCAACAATGTGAGTATATATGTATAGACATATATGTATACTGCCTCTAGAAAATTATGACCCTCACTTTCGATTCACAGCAGGCGACGACGTATCGATACACCTTACTTTTATCCTAATTTTAGAATCAATTGAAAAATTGATAAATATAAAAAGATCATATTTTTATTGGCAAACAAAATTTGTTATGCCTTTATAAAGACTTAGGAACACAATTATGACAGTATAACGCAAAATATTGCCTTTACTCTAATTAAAAAAGAATTAAAGTTTAATGTTGCGTTTACGAAGCAACAGCTATTAATGGTTAACCTCGGCGAGTCCTCGTTGTTTCCATTGTTGTGCTCTAGTTTCGAGGTTTTTTTTTCTGTATTGCGAGTGGCTTCGAACCCCTTGTCTGCCCGATACCTGGTCATTATTATTGGACAGGATACAAGAGGAATGTAGAGGGGGGAGTTTTAGTGGTAGGTACATGGATAATAGTGTTCAGTACACGTGTGAAATGGGAAGAGGAGGGACGCTACGTGTGGTTTGTCTCAAGACTGAGGAGTAAGTTCAGTTTTAATCGAATATGATTTATACGAGGGTGATTCTAGTAACTGAGCCGAGCTACAGTTCCAAATGAAGTTAGAAAATAGAACGTGGAGGACAATTTTGCATTGTTCAACAAGCTATATCTTCCGACTGTATTATTTATATGCATCGGTGCACTTGCAAACTGCAATTGCACTTTTTCTTTTAAATGGAACATTACGGTTGTTTTTGCATAAATTGATACCTTGTGTCATTCTGTTACGAAGAAACCAGTATACTTTTAAAAAACAAAGTATTTGGACATATGAGGGTTAACGTGAAAATATAATAGGTTGAATAATAAAATCATTTCTGCTGATAAGTAACTCACTGAACGATGATAAAATGGTGTTAGTAAGGAAATCGTAACAATTGTTAGATTTAATAGCGATTGAGTGTCTCTGATAGAGTCGCGAAAGTAACAGATTTAAGGTCACCAGACCAAATCGTGGGAATGACCAGACATTTTTAGAGACACCCGGTACTCACTTGCGGTCATCCCTCAGGGAATCTTTAGGGGTCCTATGAGCGAATACTGCGGAGTTATAGGCTTGGAAGGCTTCAGAAACGAGCGTGCAATGGAAAAGCACCAGTGGTGCCCGAAGGCACCCTCAGCGAACCTCAGCCACTCTACGGGGTGTTCTTAAACTGCCAGGATAAACTCTATTACCGTTTCTACTTGCTAATCGTATCGACAATCTTATATTAATATAGTTTTACAGGTCGTTTCTTTTCAAGTCTTACGAAGTGCTCGAACGATTCGTGTTGGTCAGACCGTGAGCTAATTGTTCATGCACGGCAATAATCGTTTAGACTTTTATACGATGATCAGCGGGGAAAGTTTTCAGAAAAAAATTAGGTCATTATACGGTTAATATACGTAGTAATTTTCTATATATCTCTGTGTATCGATAACTTCTAGAGAATCAATTACCAAAACTGTTTTGCCACGACTTACAGTTTTCGGTTCATTTGGGTCTATTTTTGAGATTTTTTAAATTCTGTTATTCCTATACGTACAGTAGAGAATGAATTTTATTTTAGTAGATTGATACGAAAGAAGTAGTTAGTATCACTTGATTGTTCTCTGTAGAATGGAAACAATCGCAATTCAATTTTGGCCATTTTAGCTACCATTTCTTCTATGGCAGCGTGTGGTGAAACTCATCTATAGTAATTCGTAGTCTCTTTAATTTCAAAATAATTTTTGCTAAGATATTACTTAAAATATTCTCTACCATTTTCTATATAGAATATGGTAATCTCAAGTAAAACGGAGACTTTAACGAAACCCAACAAAGGTTTATTGTATCACTTTCAATTCAAGAGAAAGTTCCCTCAGTAGAAATGAATTCCTGCGTTCATTTCCTTTCAAAATAAATAATAAAAATCTCGATTCGTATATATCTACAAGTATATTATACAATTAAGATTTTATACAATTTATCGCATACACGGTTGTTTGATTCTCAGCCCGCTAAAAAGTTTAATAAATATCAATGAAATTCTAATATTATTTAGAACTAGATAGAGTTCTTAATAAGAGTAAATACGATTATATTCGACATCGTTTTCTACCAATTACTCCATCAAAATTTCTGTATTTGCATAAACTTCTACATTCTAACAATCACTTTAATTCTAATTAACAGAACATCGTTGTATCGTGGAATAGAATAAATGATGAAAGAAGGAACGTGTCAATATTACAAATAAACATATCTGTGGCTATAAGGAAAAACATCATATGTCACAAATTCAAAAATTCCAATTTTTGCATCAGTTGGCCTGTAAAATATAGGATTTATGAATTTATCAGAAAAAAGTGCATGAAAAAGTTCGATATGTTCCGAAAAATAATACAATTTAACCACAAAAGAATATTACGCGAATCGAAGGAACTTTATGATCGTCAAAAGAAAACAAAGAACCATTGCTAATTAGAAGAATTGGTGTTCAGAACTTTAATAGACAATATCTGTGATGTGAAAACCATGTGACATGTGGCGTTTTTTCTGACAATTTACAGACTATAACACGATCGAAAGAACAGGAGGGCCGATTTATAAGCAGCGAATCAATGTTGGCAGTAGTATAGTGGGATCCATTTTTGGACTGATGCCTGATTGGCGACTCTCGAAAAATTCAAAGAACTTCAGTCGCTGGACTGTTCGGTCGGCTACTGACTGATATGTATTTTCGACTTGGCAGTCTGTCTCCCCCCCTACCGTCGTCTCTTTGTCTCTCTCTTTTCCACCAACTTCATTTTGTATCGCTCGGTTGAGGCGCCCGACAAAGCCGTTGAACCTGTAAGGTGGAAAAGCAATTGTGTCCCTGCGCGAGGTCAGCTTTAACACTGCTGACTGCAGTCGCGGTCACACTGGTGCCGTTAACCCTTTCCGACCTGAATTATTTTTTTCAGGCAAATAAAAATATTTCTTTTTTTTTCCATATACATATTTCTTGAATGTCAGATAAATAGGAAAACGAGAAAATATTATTAATAAACAAAAACGAATGTTCATTAAACAATTCATAAATATTTTAATTTAGAGAATGTGTATCCATGTAATGGTAAACAATTAAACTCTACAATACGATGCCATATTGAATTTTTAGGATTATAGTATGAGTTAAGTTTATCAAATGTGGAATCCTGCGGTCAGAAAGGGTTAAATTATATGAAAAATAAAACTGTACGATTTCTGTGCAACAATATTTACAGTCTTTTGACACTAGGAATTACCGATGGATATGATAAATTTTTGAAAATATGCAAATTTATAAATCAAGTAATTTCTTCACTTTCATATTGCAATAGAAGTTGTAAATGATATGAGAAAATGCATTGTTATAACATTTTTAATATCGTTATATGAGCGTACTAACCAGTCATTTTGTCTCCTTTGGTAGTTCTAGTGTTAAATATAATTAATATTCAGTTAACAATCCAAACAATTAATATACAGTTCGGTACGTAAGCATGTATTGGGGTTGGTGGGAAAGTTTTCTCACTATGCGACATTAAAAAGAAAGGAATAATTTTTAAAATAGTAACAATTTAATTCCACAATATTACCAACCCAATATATATTTAATAGAAAGAACTTAACCAGATATTTTGTATCGCTATACTGTCTCAATAATTAACCAGCCAAAGAAAAGTTCCTTTAATAGTTCCTTTAAAAGTTCCTTTAAAATAATTCTGCATTGCTCGGTGTAATTTGACGCAGAAACCGTATTCGATTTTTAGTTATGTTGTTTGTTGCAGAAATTTGTGAATTAACTTGACAAGAATCGTTTACGTGCATCGCGTTATTATAGCGACTGGTGCATATATTTTCTCTTAACCCTTCAGCTGTGGCGCGTTCTAATAGAAAATTATCCGCTGCGTGCAGCACGTGAGCGACTGAGGTGCCTCGTTAAAATCGGGAAGACTTCTTTATTTTGTGCAAAAAAAAAAAGAGCAAATAATCGAGGCAATTTGCGGTATTCGTGTATGTTTCAATAGTATCCGTAGAGAATTTAACGAGGACCGGCCAATTCGATTTCAACTTAACCCGCTCACTGCATCTTTTTGGTATCTTGTACAGAAACATATTTGTTCATAAAATCAAAAAGCAGTATTCATTTGAAGACTATTTAAAACATTTTTAAATGTATTTTTTATTATTTTTTTTTTTAGAGACAGTATGTTTGCTTATGATAAATAATGGCACTAGTAGTCACATCACAGTAATACCGTTTTTCTAATGTTTCGATGCCATTTGAAGAAGGTTCGTAGAGAGATAAGAGGTTCGAGATAAATTGTATGGAAATTTTAACAATAATCCAATATATCAATGGTGTTATGAATCAAAGAACTTGAGATCGATGGCTTCACGAATCCGTAATTTTTTGTTTCTTTCTGTTGGTCTCTGTTGACCTGTTAAGCTGGTACTTATAGCTCTGGACACCCTCTGTAATGCACGTGTTGCGTGCAGTGCAGTGAACCACATTTTCCTTCATAGAGTTATTATGACATCGTTACGGCGTGATAAGAGGGCGCGTGAAATAAATTTTACCATTTGTGACCTTGATGTACTTCCTAGAGAAATATATAGTATACCTTGATATAGATTAATATATCGACCTTGATATACTTTCTGATATCTTTTTGTTAGAATATAATGTTGTTTATTCTATCATTCTTATAGAACTGATAAGAAAACGAATTTGTTTAATTTCTCTTTGTCCTAAAGGATATTTCGTTCATCAACCCATTAAAGATCTAGCAAAAAAAAAAAATACAGTGTATTTTACGACGTTAACAATGTTAATATACAGTTTTTTTTATCTTCTCTCCATTTACAATATGTGTATTAATATAAATATCCTTGCATAGTGCATTTGTGTTAGTCAAGATAGATGAAACATTTTTTCTATATCTGATGCAA